TCTTTTTTTTTGCATTCTATTTAAATGTACAGGAGTGCTGGGTGTCCATAAAAAATTTCCCTCAGGGGACAATAAAATCTTATCTTAACTGTACCCTGTAATATCAGATTGCTTTTCTCTGCACAGTGCTGGAGGCTGTTTTTATTTCTAAATACCAAGTGCAAATACTCACCTTCAGTACCCACTAAAATAAATATACAAGTACAAGGAAAGGGGTACTTTTTAAAATCTCAATGTGATCCATAAAGAACTGGCACTGGTTCAGATCAAACCCTCCGTTGTCTCGATCATCTCATCAATCGAAAGCATAAAGCACATCAAACCCTAATCTGTCCTGCCCACTTGTCAGATCTAGCCAGTGCTTGGTCATTCCTTTAGAAACCTAGATTCCAGACAACTGCACTCATCACACACACCACAGAAAACCCAAAGCAACAGAACTAATACGATATTGATGAGATGCGGGCTCAACCAGCGCAGGGGAAAGGCGGAATTGGTTTAGGGAACACTGCATAAATAAGTGTTACATAAGCAAATCTGTGATTGTGCAGCTTCACTGAGGCAGACAAAGAAAACAGATACCCGATTCAATCTTGTTCAGGATTTTCCTGGCACACTGCACAAAGGCCTCCTCCACATTCTCCCCTGTGAGTGCGCTCGTCTCCAGGAACATCAGCTCTGGAAGACAGGATGTGGGAATGCGTAAGACTGTTAACTTTCAGTGAATATCAGACGTTAAGGCTTAAGAGGCAGGTGATTTGTACAATAAACATACTACTGTTGCTGTTTAGGCCCAGTCTAAAGGAGGGCAGGGAAAGAGAGGAGCAAGGAAAAAGAAAACCACAACCAATATGAAAGTACCATGACCTCTAGTGGCACTCCATGGGAACTACACTCTTGACACACCACAAAAATAATAATAATAATAATAATGTTTCTTTATTAGCCCTATACAATTTCTTGCATTAGGAATTCGTCTTTTCGCATACCCCAGCTTTTCTCCATGGAGACACAGACACACAGACAGGGAGACTCATTCCAGGAACGTTTTTTACTTGATCATGAAAGAACACCAAGCTGATTAAAAAATAGAAGTTACTAAAGCGACAAAAGGAAACCCAGACCATACTTTCATTAATTGACAGAATATATCTCCTGTGGGGACAGGTTTGCTACCCAACGCCCCAGGCTCTGAGACACAAGAGGCCTGTAGCCCACCAGCACTGGTGAAATAGAAGGGAAACTCTCTTGGCTGCATTTAGTTTTTAAGACCGTCAGATCTTTATGAAATGCAATATAAAAACTCCAGGGTAAATGAAGCACTGCAGGGCTTATTTATTTATAGTTGTTTTATATTGCACTTCATGGAGCCTCTATGTTTAATGCGAATATTTACAGAAATATCAAAGCCCCAAACCATCAATATATCACCAAAATATCAACCTACTGTTTAACAATACATCAGCCTGCACCTTGTAAAACCTGAAGTGGATGAAACCGCTTGGCAACAGGATTTTATAAACCTGGTTTAGAACAAGGCATGAAAAAGAGACTACACTTCCTTCGATGCTAAATAAATAAATACCACACCAACTAATGCCCCACCTTGGCTCCGTAAGAATGTTCCTTCACACGATTCAGGCTCAGAAATGGCAAGGGACACTTACCGTTTTCTTGAGCAAACCTTGAAGCCTCCAGGAACGTCACCTCCCTGTCTGCATCCAAATCCTTCTTATTGCCACACAGGATGATGACGATGTTCTGGCTGGCCAGCATCCTGGCGTCCGTCAGCCAGTTGGTGAGTGCGTTGTAGGTTTCTCGGCTGTGTCCAAACAGAACATTACAGATGGCTTTAAATCAAGGACGCGTTCCATCGCAAGACACACGCCTGCATTTGCCATGCGGTTTACAAACGCGAAATGCCCTTCTAAGCTTCACAGAAGCCCGGACATCACATTAACGTCGTAGGAGCACATTTATTTCTGTTCAGCAAATCTACTGGGCTTTTCTTGCGACGAGGTAAAGGAGTACAAAAGAATAAACTCCAGTCTTCACTTTGCAACAGCTCTCCTTCACATCAGCACTGCAGAGGAACAGCACTTCACTTTCCTATACAAAAAGTAAAAATAATGCTTAAGGCTTTAAAGCCAAAAGTGATAGTTTTTTTAGTATACTTTGGTTACTAAGTAACCTTCCACTGCGTTTCTTCTAGAAAACTTATAGTAATCTATTGGAAAGCTTTACCGGTTCCAGGGGGAAAAAAGACACTGTGTTTTAATTTGATTATTTTCATCAAGGCAGTGTGACTGAGCATCAAGCAGGTTCTACTGTACGAGGCTCTTACCTGGTGATGTCATAGACCAGCAGAGCCCCTGCAGCCCCTCTGTAGTAGCTCCTGGTGACTGACCTGCCAGGAGATGACACTGAAGAGTTAACCAGGAATCAGTGAATTCTCCACGTTTTCCCCTGCTCAGCCACATGGTCAGTGTACTATAGCAGTAATCAACAGCTGGATCTGGTTCAGGCTACTGTGCATACAGTGCAGGCTTTTACTGAAACCATGCACAGGTGATGGATATTTCAGGCTTGTTACCTTACAGTTAACCTGCTTAGACAGGAACATAGAGCAAAGACAGTATCAAGCTTGATACTGGTGCAAACAGTACAAGAACCAGCAGCTTGTGAAACTTCAAACAGGTCAGACAACTGCTCCCTGGGAGTCATATTTGTTTCTCTGGAATAAGCAGAACTGCTGAACCTCTAAAAAAAAAAAAATAACCGAGAAAGACTAGAAGCACATTTCATGCATCAAAGATCAACAGCCATCCAATGCAGAAGTTGTGACGTAAAGTTATGACAAGACAGATATGTCCCGTCACTTTTGTCACAGATCTGTGAAGAGATGCTCAGACACCAGCTGGGAGCCACAGTGGACTTAAACAGATCCCACTTTAGTGTTTATGCACTACGTAATTGCACAGTTCCTTACAAAATTAATTTAAGATGATCTGGTTTTGGTGTTCGAGTAACCATAGAGACACACTCATAATTCTGCACAAATGGAAGCACATTAACGTACTAAAGCTTCGATACCCCTGAGCTTCAGAAGCTGCACTCTTCAGTGAATCTGAAGGACAGCCTAAAACAACACTGCTCACAAAGCATGCAGGAGGGTGCAGCTGCAGTCATGCCACCAGCATTGGACATCCAGCACAGACCTGTACTGCATAGAACAAACTGTGCTATTCTGGGGTGGGAAGACAATGTAGACAGTGATGTACAGAGAAAAAGGAAGAAAAGCTCACTTATTACCTGCTACCCGACATCAGAGCACAAATTGCAATACTACTTCACATTACCTCTCGACACTGTAATGAAAACTACTTTATCCCTATTTAAACATAAAAACGTGAAGAAACCTCATTTAATGATCATAACATACATAGCTGCTTTTTGGCATGGATCAGAATAATAAACGCACTTGGTGATCACCAAATGCTCCAGGGCTAGACTTCAACAGGAGCACTAACACAGCAGTGACTTGTCAAGTCCGGGGAACATCGGCTGAAAATATTAGCACCATACCTGAATCGCTCTTGCCCTGCAGTGTCCCAGATCTGCAGCTTGACAAATTTATTCACCACGTTTATAATCTTCGAGCCAAACTCCACTCCAATGGTGTGATTCGAGTCCTCTTTGACTAGACAAAAAAAACAGTCAGTTTCACAGACCTGGACACAGAGCTGCACTGAATACTTTGAGAAAACGTTTTGAAAAACCTAAGAAAGATTCAAAAGAAGAGGAGGTCCATCAGCCCAGTTTTGCTCATCTAGACTCATCACTTAATTAAGGATCCTCATTACGAATTTTCTTGTAAATGAGCTGTGACGTGCTGCTCACAGAGCTACCTGGCCACATTCTCCGAGCTAAAACAGCTGCAATCCTTCCAAAACAGCTAGATGGGCTGATGGATCAAGCATCAATAAGCTACAGTGGACCATCCCTGTCAAATTGCTTCTCTCAAACACCTACGCTTATTAAAAAACACAACATAAAAAGAACTGTATGCAAGCTCCACAGAAATTGGACAGCACTTACATTTTCTCTCGATGAACTGGTGGAGGAGACATGACTTGCCTGTACCTGCATTCCCAATCACCAGAAACTTGAACAGGAAGTCTGTGGAAACAAACCAGAAACAAACCAGGTTACAGTAGTCCTGACCGGATCATAGCCAAAGAACTCCTCTACATCTGCATCCATCTAATAATAATAATTCCTTATACTTATATAGCACTTTTCTGGACACTCCGCTCAAAGCACTTAACAGGTAAGGGGGACTCTCGTCCACCACCAGTGTGCAGCCCCACCTGGAGCCAGAGTGCTCCAGTACGCTCCCCAGTGGGGAGGAGAACAGAGTGATGAAGCCAGTTCAGAGATGGGGACTACTAGGAGGCCATGACTGGTAAAGCCAGAGGGAAATTTGGCCCGGATGCCAGGGTAACACCCCTACACTTTCAAGAAACACCCTGGAATATTTAATGACCACAGAGAGTCAGGACCTCGGTTTTACATCTCATCCAAAAGACAATTACTTTTTACAGTATAGTGTCCCCCTCGCTATACTGGGGCATTAAGACCCACACAGACCACAGAGTGAGCGCCCCCTGCTGGCCCCACTAACATCTCTTCCAGCAGCAACCTTAACTTTCCCAGGAGGTCTCCCATCCAGGTACTGACCAGGCTCACACCTGCTGAGCTCCAGTGGGCTGCCAGATGTGAGTTGCAGAGTGATATAGCTGTGGGCAATCTAAGGCAGAGCATCCCAACTCCAGTGTTAGGGATCCCAAATCCAGAGGTGTTCCAGTTCTCCTTAAGTGCTAAGCAGCTCCTCACCCGGGAGAAGTACTGAACTCTTCCCTTGGTTTAACCTGACCACATTATCCCCTCTCTACAACCCACAGCTGTTGGCAATTTAAAAGAGACACAAAAAACCTCCTGGGTCCGGCACCCGCAGACTCTGGTGCGTCAAGGTGAACTGCGTCCTGTCAGGCACAACAGCAGTCCACAGAACGAAAAAAAACATCTCTTGCACCGCTTCCAGTCCTTAATCAGCCCCCCTCGCATGCTGACAGCAGACGCTAACACAGGCCCTCCTAATTGAATTAACGCAGCGATCTGTCAGCACAGCAGTCTGGGATGAATTACAGCGGACAAGTCTCGTCCGTTCCAGTCCAGGCCGCCGGCGCCTTATCTCTCCTCTCCCTGGCAGCTCCAGGTACTTCCCGCAACAACACCTTCCAGCTCTGAGCTCGGCATGGGCACCCCAGGGTGACACGCGGTTAATACGCGCTGTAAAAGACCATGTTGGGTCACGAAGTCAAATCGCCAGCTCCAATGCCTATATTTCTGCCTGCCCCCTTTCGCACGAAACGCACCTGGCTCCTGACAGCGCCTGCGACGGTATTTACCAGATAGTTTCATCTGTAAAAACACAATGAAGCGTGGATGGCTAACATGCATTTGAGGAACTGGGCAAAAAGGACTCGCATCTTCTTGTTACGGGAACTTGCCTGTTTTTTTTTAAAGAGCCAGGAGAAAGAAAGCTATTATTATGTGAGAAGATAGCGAAAGGGTTTTTCAAATCCGCATCTCCAAAACAGCCTTTGACAAGTGATCACACCGCTAGATATTAAGAGGGTTCCGCCTGCCTTTACAATACGCTTGTTTAAACACCATTTACGTTACAAAGAGTACCAGTGAGCTTACTTTCTGTAAGCACGAATTCAACCCGGCGGCTCAGATCTGGTCATTTTACAATCCACACAGTACGCGTCTCCCCGCGGCCGGTGGAGAGAAACGGGAAGCAAACCGCTTCTCAGGCCCGCCTGGGCGCCGCTCCGACCGCGGCAGGTCCGTCCCGGAAAGACCCGGCTCTCCCCGGACACCTGCCGCTCTCAAGTGACCGGGCGAAGACATGTTTAATCACCGTGAAACCAGCCGCGGTGCCTACCGTAAGTCTCGGACATGGCTGCCTGGGACGCGGGCTCTTGTGTGTGTGTGTGTGTTTTTTGTTTCAATCGTGGGTCGGAAAGCAGAGCAGAGATGAAGAAAAGGAGAGAGAGAGATTCCCGCAGGGAGCTCTCCGTGATCCCGGTCCTTTCCCTTTACTTCCTGTAGAGCCCTCTTCAAAATAAAAGCCCTCCCCCTGCCCAGTGAGCTGTGCGCCGCAGCGGTGAGCGCCGGCGTCTGCGAGCGGCCCCGAGTCCCGTCCGTGTGCGCGCACGGGCAAAACCTCTGTCCGGACCGGCGTCCTCTGCGTCCGCCGAGCGTGAAAACCCATTCCTCAAAGCAATGCGTGTATTTACAGAGCTGAGAACGATTTGGATGGTAGTACTTAAATGTCTAGTACTCAAATGGGTGGCACTGTACCTAAGGATCTGTGCCTGTGGCTGGATGTGGATTTGCCAGTTCAAATCCCGCGGCCGATAGAGGAATCCTACTCTGTTGGGCCCCTGAGCAAGGCCCTTAACCCCAGCTGCTCCAGGGGTGCTGACCCTGTGCTCTGACCCCAAGCTTCTCTCCCTGTCTGTGTGTCTATGCCTCATGGAGAGAAAGCTGGGGTATGTGAAAAGATGAATTTCTAATGCAAGAAATTGTATATGGCTAATAAAGTGATCTTATCCTATCATGATTTTGCCTGATTCTACAGGACTGGCGGAGGGATGTTTCAGGGGAAGGTCACGACAAGGGTTTATTTATTCCTTAGGGTGCCCCTGTCAGGACAGTCAACCACAACTCCATGTTCATTGAAACTGCAGTTGCAGACTTTGATCTAACAGGGGCTTCTAAATATAGTAATAATTCCTTAAACATATATAGCGCTTTTCTGGACACTCCACTCAAAGTGCTTTACAGGTAATGGGGACTCCCCTCCAGCACCACCAGTCTGTAGCCCCAGCTGGGTGATGAGACGGCAGCCATAGTGCACCAGTCCGCTCCCCACACACCAGCTGAGAGCAGAGTGATGAAGCCAGTTCAGAGATGGGGATAAAGACCAGGGAGAAATTTGGCCCAGATGCCAGGTAACACCCCTACTCTTTTCAAGAAATGCCCTGGGATTTTTTTAATGACCATAGAGAATCAGGACCTCGATTTTATGTCTCATCCAAAGCATGGCACCTTTTTACAGTATGGTGTCCCTGTCACTATACTGGGGTATTAGGACCCCCACAGACCGCAGGGTGAGCACCCCCTGCTGGCCCAACTAACACCTGTTCCAGCAGCAACCTTAGTTTTTCCCAGGAGTCTCCCATCCAGGTACTGACCAGGCTCACACCTGCTGGGCTTCAGTGAATTGTCAGTCATGAGCTGAGCTGCAGGGTGATATGGCTGCTGGCATAAATAAATATGTTTGTTTTGAGGACAAAGAGATTCCGGGGATCTCATCTATCAGTTGTTCCTGATGTATGCCAGGGAAATCTGTTTCAACAGCCTGAGTGGGTTATTAGTTCCATACCTCCACAAAGACATGGCTCCTCTTTTCAGTCCGAAATATCCTCTTCTTACTTTACTTTAAACATGTTTTCTCTGGCCCTGTTTCAGTGTTGGCAGTGAACCTCCCAAGATTTAAATACTTGTACCCAACCCACTCACAGATTTCTCTCTTCAGGCCTTCCTCCCTTCGGCAAATCCAAACTTTACTTTTGCCTAGAAGGGGCTTTAATTTATTAACGAATGTGCTAGAATTGTGCTAGGGCTTTAGTAAACATTTAGAAAAGCCTTTGGAAATAATTGCTAATTAAATATCTTCAGTGATTTAAAAGTACCGTAACTTGTACCTAAAGCGTATATAAAATCATCACAAATGTTCGGTCTGCCAATGGTGCATCTTGTGACTTTTAGAGAGGCAAACCTGTTTTTAATCGTTTTTATTCTATAGATGAATTGTTGGAAAACGTAGAGCCGTCAGTTTGATCTCACCTTTCCAATGGGATCGTGATTGAATACTCTCATGTCCAGGAAAGTCCTAACCCTCTTTCGCCTGTGTGGTACTAAACACGGCCACCAGGAGGCAGTATTACGTCACGGTGCTTTCAGTGTGGCTTGGGAAGCACCCCCAGTTTCAGACGTCTGGAACAAGAAAGTTCTGGAAACAGCAAGGTATTTATTTCCGTGCTACAAAACAAAACATTTCACGAGTGAATAAATGAACAAATATGCAAAGAAACACACCAGTAACAACAGCACAAATAAATACAAAACAAATAAAAAGTTCAAATAAAACATATATACTTTACTTGGAATTTACCAAGACAAAACTGTTTGTAGGAAGGATAAATAAATGAAAGTAAATAAACACCAGAATGTGCCCTGTGATCTGGTCAATGTTAGAAGGGACTACACTCCCTCTGTAAAAGTTGCTGGCAGTATTCCAAGGGTGATTTCATTGTTTGTATTAGCAGCACTCAGAAATATAGAAAACAGATTGTGCAAATTGCCCAGGATCAGCGTTTAGCAGTGCCAGTGTTTCACTGTAGATTAGAGGTTTTCTAGACCTTAAGGTGAAAGGTCTTAGGAACTCATGTCATCCCATTTTGAAATGAATCACCCGGTTTGAGCACAATGCAGCTCAAGGAAACCACTGAAGGGAGTTGTTCAAGCTGGGCAGCAAGGACAAATGCAGTCGAAAAGACCACCAGAATTATGTCAGATTCAGTCAGTTAAGTTTGTCAATGGTTTCAATGTCCATTCCTTTGTTGAAAATCCTTAGTTCTCAAACAGTATCTTCCACAAAATGTTCTGCGCATATAAAGCAGGACATTTTTTTCAGAGATTGCAACTGTAGGGCTGTGGAGCAAAAGTGTTTAGAGAGTGGGTCTCATTTCGTGCGGTTTAGCTGTATTTAAGCACAAAAACACACATTGCAAAATGAGCAAACATTAATGAACTACAGCCTTTGTTAACCCCTTTGATTAAGGCTTTCTAGTGCCAACCATCATACATAAGATTTCAGAAAAAAAAGAGGCAAAGGTCAAGCACATCTTTTAAATGACATCAGATGTTGCACGTACTGATTGTTTGAGAAGGTCTGGCTCACAGATTACTTCTACTGGTGATTAGTTCAGTCTGATTTGAAAAATCAGCCCTAACTTGTTGTAATTGGGCTGGAGATGGCTGTAAAATGCATACATTTTTGCTACAGCTTAGAAGCCCTACAGCTTTGTATGTGTGCGTCTTTCCTGAACCTGCTGTAAGAAGACAGAAAGAAGGAATTAAGACAATGTATGCCTGTGGGATGCATTTCAAACATACCAGAACCCAAATCTATCAAGTCGTTTGGCTTGGATGGGAAGATATTGGACTTAACTGAGAAATAGGCACAATGTGTTGCAGTGTGTCGTCTATGCACAACATTGCTAATACTTGGCTTTTTAAGGCTGTTTCATTTCCATCTGTTCTTGAACAAATAGTCAATCAGGTGTGGTATATGAGCCTTTAAATTGCAGATCATATACAGCACATACAGCTGTTTTGGAGGTGGGAGTGGTGTAAATCAGATTCCTTGTCATGTATGGGGACTGATCATTGATGTTATATTAAAGAGGGGGTCAGTTCATTTCCCGAACGCTGCATGACTGTTACAAGCAAAGCTGGCATCAATTGAACCTCATGATTCAATCTCCTTTTCCTTCACTATTTAAACCCTCCATTCACTCCTAGTCCTCGCTCGATATTAGGAATCTATCCGCCTCCTGAGCTTGTGGCATCCTCAAACCTCAAACCTCAAACCTCAAACCTCATGCCTCATGCCTCACGCCTCACGCCTCACGCCTCACGCCTCACGCCTCACGCCTCACGCCTCACGCCTCACGCCTCACGCCTCACGCCTCAAACCACTGACCACTGACCACTGACCACTGACCACTGACATGAAGACCCTTCTAGCTGTGGATCCTTCGCCTACCCTCTCATCTCGCCTCTCAGACTCGTAAGCCATCAGGCTCTCTCCGAGACCTGCACGGGGTTCATAACTCGATCGTAATGATACAGCGATATGACCCAAGCCCAGGTCGGCACTGAAAACCGTGAGAGAGCAGTACCACAGCAATGGGCTGTTTCCTCGTCATCCTGGAGAAGCACGTGACAAGTTCAGTGCGTTTCGATCGTTCAGGAACATCAAAACCGAAATAAGACTGCCGAGCTGTGTTCACAGTGCAGCAGGCATCAAGCAAAATCCACACCTGACACAGATATTGAGAATTTGTCCATGGTACAGCAACCCCATAAAAAAGAGACTTGATTTTCAAAAACCTAGAAAAATTGTCAATAATGAATAAAACCAGTTATGATCGTCTCTCCTGTCCTATACAGTATGTATCTTTATTTGTACATTTTCTAAAGGATATAATGCATGCTTTTTGGAACCTTTTCGTAAGTCTGCCCTGGTGGAATTCACACCTCTGGACTTTAGTTTTTAACTTGAATGTCTGTACTAAGGTCTTACCGACTTTGAAAAATCAGGTCAGAGATACATATTGTATTGCCTAGGCTATGCAATTCTTGCAGCTTTTTTTAGTTTGGGGGCACTGCCATCTCCAAATCCTCTCTGTCCCCAGTTCATTTGGAGGGCAGAGATAAGAGCAGAATTAGGAAACTTCACTCCAGAGGCACAATAGAGAGTGGACTCCTCCGATGACATAACCTCTGTGTTGACAAGTTATCTCGGACATTGCCAGATAATGTGTCGTAGATATATGTGGCTCCTGTCTTGACAGAATGTCTTCCTCCCATTACAAACCACCAATCTTTTGTCAATGTTTCTAATGTTTTATGTTAATATTGACGACACTTTGGCTCTTAAACACTATGCCAGTCACTCTGTTCAGACTCTCTTAACTGTGTGTGTTATATACATTTCGGAAAGTAATTTTCTGGGCTTTACTTAGGTTTTCCAATCTGTGATTTTTGTCAGTTATTATCGTGACCATGAGGGCAGTCAGTTTGCGATGTGTTTTTTCTGTTTCGTTTTTAATTAAAATAATTGTAAACAATTATTTTAATACATTCGTTACTTATTCACGATAAAAGCCTTAGTTGGTTTATATAATTTTTAAAAAATCTCTAGAAATTGTTCCTTGCAATTCATTCTGTTAAAAATGCTTTTTTCCACTATAAATCCCTCGTTAGCAGATATTTTTTGGGAAAAAAACAGATAGTTCTTCG